TTCAAATCATGATTTTCATTTGCTAGGCAAAGGGGACTATTCCAGCCCCCCTTGTCCTGAGTACACTTCTCATAACCAATAAGTATTCCTAGGATTCATTGTCCAAAGTACAATTTTGATTTAGCAGGGGGAGAGAATGTGGAAATTGAAAAGTGGGTACTTAGAATGGGATGACCAAACCATAGTGGGGAAGTGAAATTTTCTACTGATATTAGACGGGCAAATTTCTTGACCCTCCCTGTCCCACTTCAACCATTACCAGCATCCAGTGAATGGTGCAGATCCTATACTATAATTGGACCATTCCTTCTTCTTTTTGAAGGGATAAGAATTAAGATATTTGATAGGCAGTTGATTAAGACAGTTGATGCATCTACTCTACGTATTGCTCACTTTATACATTTGATATACTTTGTTTGTTGTTGTGGCTATTGAATCAAATAAAACACTTTTTTTATCTATTTATACTGTGAAACATGTATTATTATTACCTGCCTATCAATTAAATATCCTAATCATTATCCCTTCAAAATGAAGAAAGAATGGTCTAATCATATAGTCCCTGCATCATCTTTCACTGGCTGCATGCTTGGGGGCAATGATAAATTGTTGTGGTAATGGTTAAAGGGGCATGATCTGATACAGGGTTAGAAAATTTCACTTCCACAACTCTGGTATATCATCACCTTATTCCCAGTACCCGCTTCCCAATTTCCAATGTTGGAAACTTGTAGAACAGTATCATTTCGGTCTTTATTGCATTTCCCTCGTTAAATTGATTGAAGTAACGGTTGTTCTGGCAATTTTTAAAGAAAAAATTCGACTGCCTGACGGTTAATTCTGGGACTAAACGTCAGGCTGCCTGACGTTTAGACACTCCGAAATGTTTAATGAAAATAGACCACAGACTCTTAGAGCATGCACTTCTAATGCTAGTGCACTAGTTATTTTAGCATTCCTAACGGCCGAATGATTGCTCTTTGGTATGGATCAGTCCTCTTGACGCAAAAGTATCAACGGTTGCAATTGTTCTTGAAGTGCTTATTAGTGTGCCCCAGGGTACCATACTAGGACCCTACGTACCTTATCATCTAATTATGGTGAACAACCTTTAATGTGCAGGTGTAGAATATTCTCATTTTGTATGACACGCAGGTTGTTTACGCCCAATATAAACTTAGTCCGGCAAAATGTAAGAATTAGTTACCGAGAAAGGAGGCATTACGCTATATATCATACCAAAGACTAAGGATGACAAAAAGGCCGTGATCACTCAAGCGTAACCTGACAGTCCGTATGCAATGATATTAAAGACAATCCTAAAAACCTACCATCGAATCTAAGAAATAACATATATATTAAATCCATCAACCCCTGCACATTTCCCTGCTGAATATCAAATCCCTCTGCGGCTTTTTAAGTTTCATATATCATATACACCTATTTCAAAAAACGTTGTCGTCACCACGACGCATTCCACAGTCTTAAGCCTGCAAAGAATCTCGAGTTTTCCATGCGTAATTAATATATTCAAAATAAATTGTGGTTTGAATTCAATGCCGTAAGCACTACTAATACACTATTGCGGGCATGTCTCGCCACGAGACATTTTCCTTGGAAAATATTCCACGCTTTCAAAACGTCAATGAGTTTCAAAGCTATATTCGCTACGAGACTGAGAACAATCCAGTTTCTAAATTCTCTTGCTCTGTGTCAACCTCATTTATGCGCAAAATATAATATTCCTAATTGTGCTGAATAAAAGTGTGAGATTTCAAATCAATTCTATTGTCTCTCGAGCGCCATGTTTATTGACTGATTCGCATGACTGGTTTACAGGATTACGTCATTATAACTATGCATATAATTATGTATATCATAACATCCTCCTTCCTTTTTTTAAGGTTCAGGTCCAACAAAATATGAATAACTAAACAATGTAACAAGGATATAAATGTCTGAAATAAAGTTCAACAATCAAGTTACTTTGGGGGTTTGCTAATGCGTCCTGATCGGGTAATAGTGGCTCCAGGTGGAACATCTTGAGCAGATACAATGGGCTTGGCATCTGGTGGTGGTTCTTGTGTATCATCTGTCGGTGCTTCCTTCTTTGTAAAGACTTCTCCTGTAGTGTTTATGTGCCTTCTGTTACGGCGATAAGTTGCTCCATTGCTGGCTTCCACTTCATAAGATCTTGGCTCTAATAGCTTTTGTGTGACAATAGCTGGGTCCCATAGTTTGGTAGTAGGGTTTTGTATGCGAACACTTTGGCCAATTTCAAGGTCTGGCTTGTCATGTGCTTTGCTGTTGTATTGTTGGATATGGCGTTGCCTGTGTTGAGTGAGAACTTCAGATGAGTTGTCATGAGTAGAAGATTTTAATAGAAGTCCATCATCAATTTTGMGTTGAAACATGAGYTGTGCTGGYGAAGGTAGATTGGAGGCAATTGGAGTGTTACGAABAGCTAGGAGTGCCATCGCTGGGTCTTCTTTTGTTTCATTACATTTTTGTAGAGTGTTCTTTACAGTGGCAACAAAACGTTCAATTTTGCCATTTGCTTGGTGATAGTGCGGACTGCTTGTTGAATGTTCAAATCCATATTCGGTACTGAAGTTAGCAAACTCTTGCGAAAAGTATTGTGGTCCATTGTCGCTTATATAACCTTGCGTGGTATGCCAAACTCTGAGAATATAACTTTGCAAGAGTACCCAACGACACCGCTCCACAAAATAACCGGTCCACATCCTATTTTTTGACTGGCTGGCAAATTGAATTTTCATGTTCCTGGCTGGGAGATTTTAGACTTAAAGTGCACTGCTGGACCAGATAGTTCAGTGCTGGCTGGGAATTTTCAATTTGTATACCTAACTGGGCATCAAATTACGGGGATATTAATAGACTTTGCTGGGAGCTATTTTTGCTTGTTTGATTAATAAAGCATGTATGTTGACATTTGATGTGATATATAAACCTTTGACAGTTGCCATGCCTACTGAGAATTTTACCTGGATTCTCTGAATTTGATTGGTACTTGGTAACCTTACTGACCTCTCGTTTGGACTAGTCGGTTAAACACCTCGGTTAAATACGTTGTTCAAGCAGTTTCGAATTAAGGCGCCTTTTCTTTAAAAAAAATTCATGCAGTATACAACATTCTTCAACCACTCAAAGTATAATTCTGTTCAAGAGTGATTTTAATCGATCAAGTGTTTCTATTTATCCGACTTGGAGGTCATGATCATTTGTTTGTGTGGATAGCCATAAGCGCGCAATTTTCAGTTGAAATAGTCTCAAGTATCATGGGTCTCAAGACTGTGGACGCCGAGGTTTTCTTTCAATCTATCTGGTCAGTAAACGATGATTGCTTTCACTTTAAACAGTTGGAACTGATTTCCCTTCAGCGATTACAACCTTAATACGGTAAGCCATATTACTATAGTATACTTGTGAGAGTTAACCCCCACGAGTTACCGTTACTTCCAAAGACCGGCTGTTTGCGTCCGACCTTAGTTGATATCCATGCAAATTGAAGGTAAGATCATTACGTTGATTTACTTATAATATCTTCATTTTAAATAAGAATATTCATTAAATTTCACTATTTTCTTTATTTTTGTTGGTTTGGCCCTTGTGTTTAATATACGCCAACCTTTTGTTGAAAGCATGAGAGAATTGAAGCGCTATTTGTACATGTAAGTTCAAGAGAATAGTAGGTATTGCTAAGGCTATAACTTTTTAGGAGTTTTTTTGGTCGGGGAGGGGATGTAGGTGTTTGGGTTTGTATTTCATCCTAGCTGGGAAAATATTATTGATTTCATCCTATCTGGGAAAAATATTCCTGGGTGTTATTCTTGCTGGGAAAATATATGTTTTTATAGCAAATGCTGGCTGGGATTTTTTTTTTAAATTTTTTTTCTAGCTGGCTATGTGGAGCGGTTATTTTTTTCCCAGCGATGTTAATAATTAACTATAATCCGCGTGAGAACTCGTGTCATGTGACATAGACATCATTTTAGGTGATTATATGAAAAGTTGTCGTTGGGTACTCTTGACTTTGAGCTTTTTGATCACATCTGATGAGCGAGTTGATGATAATTTTCTCAGAACAAAATATGAAGAGAAGTTGTCAATGGTTAACAAGTAATTTGCATTGTTCCAGTAGAACAAGTCCGTTGAAACAACTTCCCATGGTCTGAGAGTTTCTTGTTGAATGATAGTCTCTTTCGAGTTGGAGACTTGGTGGTGTTGGTATGTAGGACATCTCTTGACGATATCCTCAATATCTTTGTCGATTTTACACCAGTAGACGGCTCGTCTGRCACGGAGCCTGCATTTCTCAATGCCTTGATGTCCAGTGTGAATCTGACGAAGAAGTTCTTCTTGACACGTTTCAGGTATGATTATACGATCACCTTTCATGAGAATGCCATCAATTATTGAAATTTCATCACGAAAGTTCCAAAATTGGTGAAGGCTTCACAATTTTGTCGGTGCTCGGGCCAACCAATCATGACCTGACGAGTGAGCTTTTGAAGTAATGGGTCAAGAAGCGTTGCCGCTTTGACCTTCTCCAGACGACTAGTTGTCATGTGAGCAAGTGATCCGATGCTCACATCGAGATTAGGTATTTCTGGCCCTGGGAGTGGTGATCTGGAGAGCATGTCTGGGACAGGTATTTTCTTGCCAGGAACATAGTAGTCGTAGGGTTGAGTCTTTAATAACATACGTTCGATTCGTGGGCTGGCTGATGAGACTGGCTTCTTTGTAATAGATTCGAGGGGTTTGTGATCAGATTCAACTGTCACATGACGTCCGTATGTGTAGTGGTGAAACCGTGTTAGTGAGAAGACAATAGCAAGCATTTCTCTTTCGATGTTTGAATAGTTCTGTTCAGTACTTGTCAATGTCTTGCTTGCAACTACAACTGGTTTGTCGTTCTGGTTCAGGACAGCACCAAGACCTTCCATAGATGCATCCCATTGAATTCTCACAGGTTTCTTTTAATCAAAGTACGCAAGTACTTTTATTGAGGCAATTGACTCTTTGATGGTTTCGAAGGCTGTTTGTTGCTCAGGTCCACACTGGAAGTCTGTGTCCTTTCGAGTGAGTTTGTTGAGCGGTGCRCAGAGGTTTGAGAGGTCTGGGGTGAACGAGCCCAGATATTTCACTGATGAGAGGAAAGATTGTAACTGTGTAATGTTCTGTGGAGCTTTCATGTCCTTGATAGCAGAAACCTTTGATGGGTCTGGCTTAATCCCTTCACTGGTTAGAATGTGTCCATAGAAGCAAATGCTGGATTGCCTGATGTGGCATTTGTTAGAGTTCAGTGACAGTCCTCGCTCCTTGGTGCGTTCCATCATTTGAATTAAATTCTGGTCATGTATCTTGTCGTCCTGACCGTAGACAACAATACCTGGCAATCCATCATACGTTTCGTCAATATTTCTTTGGAAAATGTCCTGCGCTGATACAAGACCAAATGGTAGGCGTTTAAAACAATAGCGACCGAAAGGCGTATTGAATGTCGTGAGCAATTGAGATATCGTCGTCTAGAATAACGTTCCAGTATCCAAATCTGGCATCAAGTTTACTGAAAACTTTGGCATTGCTCAGTTGTGGTAGCACGTCATCAAGCTTTTGGGTGTAGTGGTGCTCACGTATGATAGCATCGTTGAGCCTTTTGGGGTCCAAACATATTCTGACATCACCATTAGGCTTATCGACTATCACAATACTGCTCACCCMATCGGTTGGTTGATCAACTTTCTTGATGATGCCTATGCTTTGCATGCGATGAAGTTCCTTGYRGAGTGGTTCACGTTGACTTTCTGGTACAGATCTCGGAGCATCTTTACATGGRACAASATCCTCTCGTATGGGTATCTTGTATGTCCCTGGGAGTGCACCAATATCTTTGAAGCATTCGGGGTATTGCTTTAAGAGAAATTCCTTTGAAATTTCAGGCAGTTGTGTTCAGTGTAGGGTAGGGTTAGGGTAGGGTAGGGTTAGCACTAGATCTTTTGACTTCATATTTTCCAGGGGGTTGCTTTTTGTTGGATGGTTCCTGACGAAAACTATCAGCAGCTGAATAATGGCCTGTCCACTTCAGTGTACCCCAGGGCACCAAACTGGGACACTACCTTTTTATCTCAACGACTTTAAACGTGCATGTGTAGAAGTATTCTCATGATTATGTATTGCCCGCAGGTTGTTTACGCCGAATAAAAACTTTACCACAGAAAAAATGAGTTTCAACCTGTCCAATAAAACAAAAGCAGAAAAGTGGCCTTTTCCAAGAGCCGAGAAAGCCAGTATTAAATGTACAATCACACTGATAAAAAACGAGAAAATCAAACATAACAACTGGGAACTGATTATTTTTTTACGCTCAATAAAAACTTTGCGGCAGAAAAAACGAGTTTCGAGCTGTCCCAGTCAAACAAAAGCAGAAAAATGGAAGGCCATTATTAGAGTGCCACAGTCACACTGATAAATGTAAATTCAATTCAATGTGACATAACATAACCTGGAAGTGATATTCGAGATTGACCAACCTTCAAGACATATAACAAGACTATTTATACCATAACTTATCGCATTTGTGTGGGAGCCCTGTGTTCTTCAACCCTTGGCTGTATGTCTGCATTTTTAAATGTAGGACTTTGAAAAATAATGGTATTTGCTGACTTGAAGGGGGAGGGGGGGCTGAAACACAAAATTAAGGTATGTATAATATATAATATCAATATGTTTTCTTATTATACATTTCTTATCAGTGATCATTTTAAACAACAACTTTACTTTTTTTTTATAGAGGTCTAAGTACATAAGCATTCACTTGATTTTTTGTGGCACCTTTTAAAGTTTCTAAATCCTTAGATCATTTGAAGATATTTTCATTTTTCTTTTTTTTTTTAAACAACTACAACAAGGTCTGGCAGATCTGCAACAAGAGTGTCAACTGTCTATGTGTAGTGTATAAAGAACGAAAGAGTGTGTTTTATAGGATGATAAAGATCCGAGCCGAAGGCGAGGTACTTTAGTCCCGATAAAACACACTCTTGAGTTCTTTATACTACTTCTAGAACTTTAACATCCAGAAATCGTTATCATTTTAGAAAAAAAAAGCTAAAAAATGCGAAAACAGTGATAATGCATATTAAGCTTCTACTAGCATGTGCATTTGCCACAATTGAAAGAATTTTGATCCCACACGTAAGAACGGCTAGTTTATGCTATACTGCATGTCTGCACATTGATTCAAACTGATTTAAAACCTAGCAAAGGTCTATAATGCGACATTAAAACTGAGACCTTTGCTAGTGTTGGGTTGCGATAAAGCGCTGATGACCTTGAACATCAGTTCTTTATATCTGATATAGAACTGATTAATAAAACATCAGTTCTATATATCTGACATAGAACTGATTAATAAAACATCAGTGCTTTATCGGGATATAAAGGCCCATCATGTGACCCAATAGTTCGATGCTCATTGGACTAATAGCTCATGAATTATTAATGAGTTCTAGAA